GAAACTTTGACTGGTACAATGAAACACATTAGAAACATCTTCCATGCATGTCTAATCAATATAGGACATAGAAGTACTTAAAAAGAAAACTGCTCCAATTAACCTTAACCCGGGACGCCGACGCCGACGCCAAGGGTATCACATAAGCTCCCATTGAGGTGAGCTAAAAAGTCTTGATTTGTTTCTTTCAACAAAAGTAGGAAAAGTTGAATCTTTTCCTTAATTTGCAATAACAGTTGATGGATCTTCATGTTTTATTATCTTATTATTTCATTATTTCTTTTCAAGCATACCAGCCCCTCATTATCTGTCTGATGACATTTAGATTTTACATCATAATAGAACAACAGTTACACCAAGTTACATAACCAAATATGTAAATTCTCACTTTTACAGTTTGCTTGTGATGGATTGATTGTGCTACATACAGAACACTATATATTATAATGTGAATATGTGAAAATAAACAAGTTTTCACAAAAAAGTAAAAAATCCATAAAATTTTTCCTTCAAGCTAATGCTCATGTAAACATTAAAGGCAACATGTTACACAATGATAACCATTTCTCTGGTGTCTAAAAACGAACTTCTTTACTTTGAAAGACATTTTAATCCTATCCCACATCAAATCTAGTGATTAAAGTTAAAGTGATTTTGAAGGATGAATCACAACACCCACCAGAAAATTCACATTAAATCTTTTTCATTCATAAACAGAGATAAAATTTTTGGCAATCGTGCGGGACAAGCTTTTAAGTCCAATCTCCTGCAACTGCAGAAGTCGAGGATTTAATGCTAGTGTGCGCATGCAACTACCCACACAAAAAACAGTGAAAAGGGTTCTTAAAAAAACTAAGACAAACACTCCTACATTGTAAAGGTATTTATAGTTAAGTATAATCACTAGTCTGAATGATTAAAAAAAATAAAATACAGGTGTTCCTGCACTTCTTACAAAGTACATTCTCTGGAGGAAAATTAAGTCCGAGTCCAAAGAGCAGAAGTGCGCGGCTCAATACAAGTTATCCTTAAAAAGAAAAATATATCTACTCATGGGATTACTTTGCTTGGTTTGTAGATACGTTTCTTTGATGTAAAATTTCATGCCCAAGGGGGGCAAAAGGATTCAATTTTAACTTTTAAAAAAAAATTATATAAGAGTATTTTTTTAGCTGATAAGTAAGAGTATTGCCCTCATATACCAAAAAAGTACGGTAAACATATTTACTTGTGTAAAATTATGTCCTTGTGCAGAATTACTTACATCTCACTGCAGCTTACAGCCATTGAAGATATACAATATAATACTATGAGAATAAGAAAATTAAATACTTTTTTTATAATCTGAAATTAAAATATTGCTATGAAGCTTTACTTGCTAAACTTTACTTTCTTAATTCCTTTGAAAACAACTTTCAAAGATAATTTGAGAAAAAAAAAACAGCACCATAAAGTTTAGATATTTTTATCTAAAATGTATTTTTATGGATTAAATTTATGGTAGGGTGTGTGTGTTTGTGTATTCCTACTACATATTGCTTAAAATATAAACTAAGAGCTTGACTGGTCATTTAATTGCCAGCTAATGCTATTCCTGCTACATGATAACTACAAATTTAAGAGTGGCAATTAAGTAAAAAAAAAAAAGTTTGTTGAAACATATAAATAAACTGCAAAACATATTCCACCAAGATTTTTAATTGTCTTTTTTTTTTTTTTAACTTAATCTATATACATTATCTGCACTCTGGTTGTGAATGAATGAAGGCCAAACATTTTTTAAGTATCTCACTGTAACATAAATTAGCATGTACAGAAATATTAGGGGTGCGTGCAGCTACCAATATTTTTACAAGAAAGAAAAAGAAAACACAATGGAAGAAGTTGCTGGGTATAGCTAATAAAACTGATGACTTAATTTCAAATACCCCCGGTGAACTTCCACCCTCGCTGCAATCTGTTTTGTTGGTTACTATGGAATGAGACACAAACAAACGTGCCAATACTCCGTGCACAGGACTGCATCTTAACCGCAAAAATAATCAATCATCTGACAAAATACCACCAGACCAGCAATCTCAAATAAAGCAGGAATACAGGGTGTATACTCAAAAACAAAATAGATATCTCCTACAAAAAAAATAACCTAAACAAGATATCACACACTTTAATTCCTCCTGAATTGATTTTTTAGCCCCCACCCTGCATTTTGAGATTCCCCACTCATTTTGCTTACTTGGCAAATTTCTATGAATAATCAATAACAGACTAAGTCTTTAGAAATTGTCCCGTCCTTTCATAAAAAGTGAGAAATATTCATAATGATTTGCATATTTGAAAGAATATGTATTTGACAGTCTGTGCACTCCAAGAAATAACTTAATAATCTTGTTCTTTTATACTTGAATAATAACGTATTCATAGTCAGTGAGGTTATAATCAGCAAATATTGAACCCTAAGGGCCCGTATTTGTTTTTATCTAGATGCATATCATATTTGCAGGCCTTGGTGACTTTCTTAACATTCACACGTCAGCTTTTAAGTTTTATCCATGTACATCACTGATAACTGATTAACAGTTCAACCAAGTACGAAATGAATGTTCATGACACCTGAAGAATTCAACATGTGTCATATATGCCCTGCAAAATATATTAAAATTTTAAACCATCATCAGGGAGGTTTGTAAATATTTCTCAAAAAACAAATACACTATGTAGAAAATTTTCATTATTTTTAATCTGGTTTTATAAACAGTGACTGACTGACCCACTGATGGAAAGGGTCTAAAACAATATACATCTCTCAACTTGTTGTGTGGGGTATAACCTACTTTTTAGAGGAAGGGAAATAACTCCAAAAGGTTTGTTCTATATATATTTCTATGAAAACTTCCCCATTGTGGCCCCGCCCTACGCCCGAAGGTCATGATTTTAACAATTTAATATCGCACTACCCAAGGATGCTTCCAGTTTTTTTGGCCAAGTGGTTCTTGAGAAGAAGATTTTTAAAGATTTGCTATATATTTCTATGTAACAATCCTTTTTACAATTTAATATCTACACTACCCAAGTTCCACTTCAGTTTCAGCTTTCCTGGCCAAGTGGTTCTTGAGAAGAAGATTTTTAAAAAATTTGTTCTATATATTTCATGTAAAATTTAGATTCCTAAAGCTTTCAACATTTTAGGGTTTAACTTCCTTGTTTGAATTTTTTAAAGTTTTCTATATATTTCAGGTTAAATTGGATTCAATCTGATTTTAACAATTGATACAGAGATATAGTTTTAGATAAAGATATATATATCTATGGCTTGGATTCACTATTGTGGCCTTACCCCTGGGGGTCATGATTTTAAAATCATACACAACACAGGTAGTAAATTTTCATTATTTTTAATCTGGTTTTATAAACCTGTGCTTCCACATATATTTCCTGGCAAAGTTTTTAAAGATTTGTTCTATATATTTCTGTAAAACTTGCAGTGGTTTATGATTTTTTCAATTTGATATCTACACTACCCAAGGATGCTTCCACATAAGTTTCACTTTCCTGGCCCAGTGGTTCAAAAAGATTTTTAAAGATTTGTTCTATATATTTCTATGTAAAACTTGGATTGACTATTGTGGCCCCGCCCTACCCCCGGGGGTCATGATTTTTACAATTTAATATCTACACTACCCAAGGATGCTTCCACTGTTTCAGCTTTCCTGGCCCAGTGGTCAAAGAAGATTTTTAAAGATTTGTTCTATATATTTCTCAAAACTTGTTGTGTGGGGTATAACAATTTAATATCTACACTACCAAAAAGTTACTTTTTACAAAAATATAATATCTTTCAAAATAAGTTATTTAATCAAAAGGTTATCAGGTTATAAATCCAGAAGCAGTGAATGATCAGTTCAACTTTCAGCTCAGGTGAGCTAAAAATATAATATCTTTCAAAATAAGTTGTTAAATCAAAAGGTTATCAGGTTATAAATCCAGAAGCAGTGAATGATCAGTGAAACAGTTCAACCTCAAGAATAGTGTGTATAGTTTTCCTGAAGGCCAATGTTTAAGAATTATGTGACAAATTTTCTAAGGTTAAGTAACCCTCCCCTATCAATAAGGAAGGCACTGAGTTGTGAATTAAGTTTATCTCATATCTTTATCAGTGTTTTCCCTAAGAACTGGCTACCAGCAAAATTGACCACTTTAATTCAAGTGACAAAAATGCTGCATTGAAATAAAAATGTGTTGTATTTAAGGTTCACAGAGATTCTGTTCATAAACCTCAGCCCCTAGCCTGTTACAATTGATCTCTAAACTTTTACTTTGAAATAAATTAAGGGAAAACACTGCTTTATACCAGAACCAGCTAACTTAAAGCCTGCCTTTAATGCACCGGTGAATTTACAGGCATATCAAACCAAATCTCTGTACTTATACAAATTATTGTATCCCTACTTCATTTTCATTTCTTAAATACTTTAAGACAGACTTGTCTGAAGATTAAAGTGTATTTATAAAATGTCACTGGTTTTAAATTCAATGGAGTATGGGAGAATTGTCTCCCAAAAGGGAGGATAAATTAATTTATTTTCAAGAATAATAAAATAATCTACTGTAAATCTCAATTTTTTTTGACACCTTATTTTTAGCCAAGACAAAATTTAATTCTTGGTAATCTGTATAATTCAGACTATGTAAAAAAAATGTTTGCTTGTCTTTTCTAGAATCCAGATAAAAAAAAATTAAGAAAGGTAGGTAAGGGAAAAAAAATATATTCAAAAAAGCTTACAAATATGAAGTAAAAATAGTCAATAATGGGATGAGAGAAATAAAAATTTTATGTTTCCCTGAGGTTAAAGTAAGTTTTAAAGATGTATTTATACTAATATACATGTAGATACATGCTAGAATGAAATGAGACAGACCATCTCATGTAATAATGCTGAAATCATACTCAAGTTATGTAAAGTTTTCATGAATTGATATAAATTATTAATTGGACTGACCTCCAAGATGTTGTGCCACTGATAATCCCTTTTTTTCTATTAATTGTTGGGCCTTTTTGGTCATGATTTCTCGACATTTCTCTATTATTCCCTTATGACACCATCCTTCCTTTTCTGTGCATACCTACATATAATGATACAATGTATTGAGAGTGAAATGATCGTTTTCTTCACAACCTGATGCATAATTCTTATTTAACATGTATTGTTATTTCATCGCATTCCAACCCGAAAGTTGTTTAATCTAAACATCTTTGGTTTGAAAGAATTAAGTCCTGTAGGTTAGACAACATTCAGGATTTAGATGACATTTTAAAAAATAGAATTTAAAAGAAAGGATTTGGCAGTTTGAATTGTATTAGGCAAGATTTCTGAATACACAACATCCAGATAAGACAATTAAATTACACAGCATCTGATATCTGAATAACACACCTTGTACTCGTACACAATTATTTGAAATGAGAATCTGTGAAATATATATCTTTGATATGAGTATCAAGCAACTTTTTCTCCATATTGCTGACCTTACACAATGGCTAATTTACATATTCCCTGCGCATCTATTTCTTCCTTTCTCTAGTTAGGCCATCTTTAAAAGAATATTTGTTTACTTGCTCCCCACTCAGAGTGGGTTGGTAGATGGTATAATTCTTTATTCAAGAAAATTTCAACATATTTATTATAAAATGAAATTATTCTGGGGGAAAAGAATTTCCAAAAATATTCTCTCAGCTTAAAAATATTTCAGTTGGACCAATTTTAGTTGGTCGGAAAAAATTCTAAACATAAAACATATTCCAAACTCGAAGGGTTTTTTTTTTCTCAAAACTTACAGAGGCTGTGTTGCTTCTTATTAGGGTTTGTATTTCATCCACTTTTATATCACACATCTGGTAAAACATTTGTCTGCAAGGAGGTAATCGGTCAGGTGTATAAACATGTAGTGGTTCTTTATTGATCTACAATAAAAATCAAATCATGTAATGTTTGTTTTCATTACTATTTTATACTGCAGGTTTTTCAAAATATCAGCCAATAATTTTAACAATATGATTGAAGCCCATGACCCTTATTCATACATGTGATTCTTCTGATGAGAGACAAAATCTCCCAATGTTTCAACCCTTTTTTGCCCCTCCCAATTAACTCTTGACCCCCATGTTATGAAATACTTCAAATTAAGGAGGCCGACAAAATTTAACAAAATTAAGAAATTATAGGTATAAAAATGTAACAAAATTTGATATAACTGATTTTTTAACCGATTTTGCAATTGATAGGTAGGTTGACGTTGCAGCATGTTTTTGACGTTATGATAATCTGTACCTCTTAAAGAAAGGGGTAATAAAAATATTATTTAAGAAAAAGTAATAAACATATACTCTTGAAATTTAAATCATAGAAATTTGAGAATATCTCCAATATTTTTATTATGTTTTCATGTGAATCCATTGTGTACATCATATTTTGTAGTACTCTATAAAAATAGTGAAATTTGCTAATTTTTTGCATTTTGAGATGCCCCCTCTGGTAACAAGACGGTAGAATTTTGTGTTTCTTACATATATTGTATAATATACTATTACTCATCAAATATTATAGTTTGAACAAAATGTCTATTGTAGTATTCGTATAATTTGCTTTAAAGTGCTAAAAAATCGGCATTTTCCTTTATAATCCTATACTGTAAAACGAGAAAATTTGGCGCATATGTATTTTAGCGCAAACGCAAGTGGGAATGCATTGGCGCAAATAAATTTTAGCGCTTGCACTTGTCAGTAAAATATATAAATGTGATATTTTGTTTTTTTTTTAATCCACACTCGTATTTGATTTTTTGGTTAGTCCAGCACGGAAACACATTAGTACTCCCGTATATCAGTAAACATTCGTTAACTTTACCGCGGTACGTGTTGTTATCACATGGACGTGGCACAATGTTAAAATTTATTTTATTTCTATTTTCAATGAAAAGAAATGGAGAATTTACTCATTTAAATCATATCAAAACAATGCATGCATTGACAGAAAATTAGTTCGATAAAACGGTAATCCTAATCAGATATTGTCTGCAAGCTCAATCGCCATGTTTGATTGCATTGTTTACCTCGAGGGAATACATGATTGACATGCCGAGAAGCCAAACTTTGAATGTGCTAATGATAATAATCGGGTAACAATTACTGGGGTAACAAAAGTTTAAATAAATTATAATTTGGCAGAACTTTCTGTCTTCCAAACATGTGCAGTGCTAGTGTGTATATAAAATCCAATGACCCTTCGACATTACGTAATCAGTGCATTCCGGTTTACATGTACTTATGTAAAAGTTTTGAACCCATACAAAAAATGATGTTTAAAAATCCTTTAGCGCACAATAAATTTTAGCGACTTGAATGAAACAAGTGATGTAATAACTAGTCACAAAGGCGCTAAAATTAGTAGTGCGCCAAATATTCTCGTTTTACAGTAGTAAATGTACCTGTATTTTGAGACGGTCCCTAAAAAATACCTGGACGGTAGATTACACCCAAACTTTGCATGTACACGGCAGATAATGTAAGTTATATATGGTATAAAAATGAAGAGTTTGCTATTGTAGTTTTCACACAATAAAACTATAGTCGGCCCCCTTAAATATTATTCGCATTAATTGTTATCCTGTACCGTATAATTTCTCCTAACAACAGATATCCCTGATCCTGGGGGCCATAAATTTCATGATTTGGGAAGGACGCTTAATTCTATTTGAACATACATGTAGCAAACAGTTTGAATACTTGATGTCCTGGAGTAAATATGACATTTTTGAAGACTTGTTTAACCATTCAAGAGAGGCAACTTACACTGGATTCATCTTTTTCATCAGTAAGACGAGATTTGGTGAGGTTAATTTTTACAATGTTTGTATTTTTCCTCTTCATTGCGGGGAAGGCTATAACATTAGGAGATCTCTTCAGTGCAACCCCCATTTTTTCTCCTGGGGAAGCTACAAAACATTAATACGAATAACACACTTCTATAATCAAATCATACTTCATATTTATTTGATTTTCAAGGAACTAAATTACCATAGAACTTATGAAATTTGTAATGGAATCTAATTATTTTATTTAATACTTCATCTATTAAATGCACACATATAACAGAGAACATTATGCATTTCATCCTTTTTGTTAACAATAGATTCAAACATTCCTATAATATTTTCTCTCCATTTTACAAAACTTACTCTGTCTAACCCTGTAATCAACAGTCTGATATATCTTGGCCTCTGGGTGCTTGCGAGGATCATACCCAAATTTCACCCACATACACCTCCAGGGTCCATTGAGGTAGTAACAGGCCTTCATCGGCAAGAGATACTTGACTTTCTCTCTTTTTCCACTGAAGTAGTGATGTAGTGCCACTCTGGACCAGATCGGTCTCTGCTCAAACAGCTGTTAAAAATACAAATCAGACTTTGTTAAGGAAAGCGTCTCCCTATTAACTATCTATACTGATTTCATAATTAAATATGACAAAATGACAAATTTTACATCACATGAAATGATTGAAATATGGTGACAACCAACAGTAATGAAAATCAAACATCCATTGAACAATACAAATGGAACAAAACCTCTGTAAAATATCAGAGGTGGATCAGATGCTATGGAAGAGAAAGCATCCCCTGTCCACTGATGCAGTCTACTTGTCAGGTTACTGAACATTTGCCTAAAGTAAACTTGTCAAACCCTTTATATCAAATATGAAGGGCTTTTCCAATAAAAATCATCTGAGGGAGTGAAAGGTTATCATTACACCTCCCATCTATTAAAAATAAATTTAAAGTTTTCCCACACCAAGAGAATTTGGTTTGTTTTCCCACATTTGAAAAAGTGGTCAAATAATGGTTAAATTTAATACTCATTCTTCTAAAAAAAACAAATCAACAGAATTTATTTAAATAATACACTGAATAACGGGTGTAATGATAAGTTGAAGGTTTAAAGAAGTTGTATGACTAAGTCTTGTATTTGTAACTTACTTTGTAAATTTCCTTCTCACGTTCGGGTTCATTGTATTTGAGTCGGAGGTGAGCCAGCGCCTCATCCCGTGGCTTTTCTGGGACGTCGTCATTAAAGTTGAGAAACACTGTGTATACTTTCCTCCTCTCTCTCACTATTTAAAGACTGAAATCATTTCATTCATGTACATGTACTTACAGATTTGTATCTTTAATTTACAATCAGTGTATATTTGACTATTTGAGAAAATAATTTATTTGTACATTAAGTACAATGTGACATATGTACTTTAAGTACACTGTGACAAAATTTTGCAGAATTATTGTGATCATGTGCATATTCACACATTGAAAAAAGTACATCTTTAGTATCAGAATATCCAAGCTGTCCTTTATGTACCTGTCCCTATCAGGTTAGCCGGTCTGTCTTTTTCCGGATTCATGTAACCTTCTCTGTGTGTTATACCATCTCTGTATAGGTAATCTTTGTCTGGATAATCAAACCTATAAACACAAATAAACAATGTAATAATGAAAAAAACACCCTCTTCCTCTCGAGAACACAAGCCAAGATAAAACATCATCCTTTTGGTATCTGGATCACAAGAAAATTGTTCTTCGAAGAACAATTTAATCCTTTTGGTATCTGGATCACAAGAAAATTGTTCTGTGGGGAAGTTTCAACATTTTTGTTTTACCTTGAGAAGATGACAGGAGGGAGAAAGCTGGGGACATCCCTGTCTAGGAACTCATTCCTGTCCACGAAGGTCCTGTAAACCAGTCTGTCGTGGATCTGTTCTAACTCGCCACTCGGTCCCTTCAGAACAGGGAGGTACTGGAAGTCAGCCATACCTGTAGATTTGTCAAACTCAAAGTCACAAGACTCACTGTTACTGGTACATTAGCTTTGAGAGCAACATTTCTCTATACTCAAAGCTTAAAAAGACTATTACAGCAAAACATGCTTGTAATAATGTTACAAAGTGGCAGACCTACAGACTGAAAATTTTACTTCTATACTATATGTATAAGCATCAACTCATTAAAAGCATTTGCTACTGTACATGCAGTTACTGGAGTGACATTTTTCTATACTCATAGTTACCTTGAAAATAAATCCCCTTTTTAATTTTTTTTATTTTTTCAAACCTAAAACTTTTTGGAATATATATGAACTAAAGTCCGATGGTGACAAAGTCCGACCAAATTGTGCGCCAAACATGGCTCGTAGCTAGGACGCCAAAGTCATCTTTTAAAATCCAAATGGCTATGTTTTTTGATGCGACAACTCAAAGTGGAATTTTATGCCAAGTCCATATTTTATAAATGTATTTCATGTAATACAACTTGAGTATAATTTTTTTTTCATTCAAATACATTGAAATTGCGTCTCAAAATTTTGATATTTTTTCGCCCAAGCGGTAAGCCAAAAAAAATGGTTAGTCCTTGAAAAAAAAGTGTTTCTTCGTCGGGTACCCACCCTGGAGATTTTACGGTTTATCGTTTTTATTTTGGCCTCCACCAACCTATGATATTTAGGTGGTTATATCTGTCAATTCAATATATATTTAAGTCAACGGTATGAAAATTGTCTTTATCTATATGTATTTTGCATCAACTCATTAGCATCGCATTTTAGCACAATAGTACTATGACGTCATAAACGTTAGTTGTTTTCTGCGCCATCGGACTTTGGCATGTCAAACCAACGGACTTTGGCGCAGACCATCGGACTTTGGCGTGACCATCGGACTTTGGAGTGCCATTGCACTTTGGAGTCCTACATATATAATTTAACATAATACTGCAGTATCTAAAGTTTAACTCACTATTGAATTTATACATAGATTCAACACTTCCAAGGACTTCCACCTGAAACTGGCAGTTTTCCCAAGACTTCTCTCCCTTTTTCCTCCTGCGTTTTACTTTCATATAAAGGCTAGAGGTGACTGTCCGTTCTCCAAACGCAGGCTTACAGTAAGCATTAGATGGCCGAAAATTCACATCCACTCGTTTATTTACATTTGCATATACCTTTAAAAAAAAAGCATCAATACAGAACATCTTATTATAAAAACCAATTCTAAAGAATATAGGTCTCATTTGCAAAAAAGAGTTGTTTTTTTCAGTCAATTTATGCATAAAAATTACTTTCCCCATCTACAACATCTGTCTACCATATACATTTATATCGTTCCTTTGGCCCATGGTAATTGTTTTCAAAATGAATAACTACTAACACAAAAGTACGGTATATAAAACTTGTTTAGTATACGCACACAAATATTGTGAATTCTCTGATATAGCGATAGTGGATCCCCATCTATATAAATTGAACGAATTCCTTAAATGGCTATAACAAATTACGGATATACCGAAGTTATTTCAAAGATCCCAGTGACTTCAATATAACCAAGTTTTACTGTAGCTGCAAAAACTTTTAGTAATGCAATAGTGCAATTTGTCGCTCTAAATTTCTCTCTGACTCCCAAAACTCATTTTAAAAAACAGTGAAGTCGCCTATTCTGGGTCACGTTTGGATGTTTCGTTGATATTTTGCAAAGCTGTTCGATTTATACTTTATGCAATATATGTATTGAAATGACAAATAGTGAGTCATCCAAAAACCTTTTTGTTTTAAAGCAGCTACACGGGAACAATATTTACAAAGGTATTTCAGCAAGGCCTATCTTCCCCAGTTATGAACCATTTTATCCATTTCCGAGTCATCTGACTTCACGGTCTAGTAATATTCGTATATCGTTTCGGAACACGATTTTTATGATGTCGAAACATAAAAAAAATTCATTCAGCTTGGAAAAAAGTAAACAACCACAGAAATATGTTTTAAATTATTTTAAAAACAATAGCAACAAAACGCATTGCAATTTGCAGAATTAAAAGAAAATATATTAAGATTTAAAATAACACGTCAGTTAAATATTTTTATTTAAAAAATGCATTTGAAGGGTAAACTCAAATTAATTTTTTAGAAAAATATTTTCCACTTAGAATACTTTTAATAATCAAGGTAAATACATGGTTGTCGCTTGGTTTTGTACAATGAGTTTTGACATGTTTCATACCAGAATTGGAGAGAAACTAGTACAGTTTGATTTATTAATCATTATAATTTTATTTGCACAGCGATCATTATGATTGATTTCCGAGTTAAAACTAAATGCATTTGCCATACTTTCGAGCTCTTATTATTTATCTACAACTTTTATATCAGCCCTGCAGCAGCGAACAAAAATGAAAGTAGCTCGTCACTGAAGCAGAAACATCCCTGTCTTCAAAGCGCACGTTTTAGAACTTTAATTCTCAGATGCTTTCTTAAAGTTGATATTTGAAATTCTGTAATTAATTACAGACAGAAAGACCAATTCTTCATGATCAGCGTATTCATTAAGTTTTTTTTTAGCTTAATCAGGTCCAGCACAATCTCTTGATTAAGCTATAAAGCTTTAAAAAGCTACATAGCTTTATTAAGCTATTCAAAATAGCTTGATAAAGCTATTTATATGCAGTTTTTCACAAAAACGTTTTTTGAAAGAAATAAAAAGTCGTAAGTATTTGAGTATTCATATATGTTCTATGGACTATCAAAAATACAACCTAAATCATAAAAAGTTCTTAATTTGCTGCTGTTGAATACTTTAAGCAAAATATGAATTTCCATTGTTTGATATGTGTGTGCGGTGAGGCGTTGAACTATGATTGCTTCTCATTGTGCTGAACTGTTACTAATCAATTATCCTGTTGGCCATAACTGGCCTCCTTTATAATTTCATTCAAGAAATAACTGTGTGGTCACTCATCAATAGCCCCAAAACTTTTAAAACTTTGAGTACAAAGTCTCTCAAGGAGACGCAATTTGGTGAGTGATGTTTACATGCATTGTATTCAGAAGAGAACAAAGTTTAATATTTCCACTGCACCTGGGTGAGACTTTTTGCACATTATGTTGAAAAAATAACAAAGGACTATATGCGGTATTAACCAACATTTGCCCCCCAAAATCAAACTTTGATGGAGTAATATTTAATTAAGTCCTTAAACAGGGGAGTATATGCTGACTTCAAAGCACTGAATAATTTCATAAGTAATGACGTGATTTGTACGTAATGACGTCACAAATATGACGTAAATTTCAGTTTTTTATGAATTTTGCAGAAAAATGTACATATTTCGTCAATTTTAAATAAAAGTCACCGAGCGCATGTGTGTTCAGGATTAATATTTTGATATAATGTGTAGAATGATAATATCAATGAAATATGTCAATATTGTTCCTGAACACACATGCGCTCTATAAATTCTAAAGCTTAAATTGTTGAAATTTTGTCCATTTTGTCCTCTTTCTGAAAAAGGATATAAAATCGGACTAGTTTGTGACGTCATAAAAACAGAAATTGTAAATACACTGCTCTGGAACTATAATATTTTCTGTTAACTTATATTTCTCGTACAATTTATTGAATTCAGCACATTTCAGGAAGTTTTCAAAATTTGACTTTTGTGGGGGCAAACATATGCAATATACCGCATATAGTTCTTTGAGAAAAAAGTCTAAGAAAATAGCTTAATCAAGCTATTCTGAATAGCTTAATAAAGCTATATAGCTAAATCAAGCTATATAGATAGTTTTCGATAGGCCTGAATTTAGCTTTTCCCGTTGGCCGCCATATTGGATATAGTGATTTTCCCTCTTTGTCTTACCAAGTTTAAGAAAATATAGCAGAAATATTTGGTGGAAAATCTTTATCAAATAATTTTTTTTAAATAAAGGAGGCTTCCAAAAATTTATATACTTCAGAAAAATAATGATTTCTAATTCAAAATAGCAAATATAAAAATTTTAAATTGGTTGAACAATGAAGGAATATGAGCATTTGGACCTCCAGTATGGCGGCCAACGGGAAGTAACTCTTGGTCAATCGAAAACTATCTATAGCTTAATCAAGAGATTGTGCCGGACCTGTTAATTTTTTGCAATATGGCATAAAATACACATGAGTGATCCGGAATTGGAGACTGTATCAAAATGACATTGATCTCCATAATTAAGGGAAATAAATAATCGATATAGATTGTAGATTTGATTATTTCAGCTGTGTGTACTGTATTTGTGCAAAGGTCTACAAGGTTCAGTACCCTTTCTATGTTAGGAATTCCACCAAGAGTTTCCAGAGCTTTGTCAACATTCTTCACAATTCCAGGATATTCAATGCACATAAACTTTCTGTTCTTATTGTAGGAGACCGTAGTTAATTTATCGAAATCTGTCCAATTGTGCGCCTTTTCGAGCTCCATTGCTACTTTCACTTTCAACTTGCTCTTTCTAATACTCTCTAAAAACGGCAAATACAATATTCAGTTATAAATTCTCATCATTTTTTATAGAATAATAAATAAAGAGAAAAAGATAAAAACTTTTTGCATTAGATATCCAATCAATAAAACTTTTTGACCGTTAATAATCGATATATGAACTAAGTAAATAAAGTTATTTTGAGAGTATTTTTCAAGATGGCTGCGCCCTATTGAACCGATGTTGCGCAAGCTAACATTGACTATTTTGGGGGCCTCTTCAGTTTTGAAGAGGTAATTTAATTGAAAGAATTGTTTAAAAACGATATTTAGGCTGTTTAAAGTTAATTCTACGTTTAACGTCACATCTAAAGTTCAAAACCTACGAGGGAGGGAGGAAAAAAATAAACAAACAAAATTTTCAAACAACTGTGAATTTATTCAAATTAACCTATTCAGTACATTTAAAACATTACAATTAAGTAGTAAGAGCATTTAATTGATATGATACATAGTTTTTCCTCAGTATGTAAATCAGTTTGAGTCCTATTGTTAGCAAACAATGTAGTCTAAGACTGAATGTGCAGGAAAGTGGCTTTTAACAAGGCCTCGGTTGTCCTTTGGATTTATTTTGCCACATGTTCATGGTATCCTGGAGGCAAATGCTTCTTCTTGTGGAAATAGTTGATCAGTATCTACATGTACAATTGAAATTATTGATGACAATATTTAAAACTGTTCCTGTTGAAATATCCTCAGATTGAATTAGGTCGTATTTTTTCTTAGTACTAGATCTACTAGCATTAAGTTTTGAAAGTGTGAATACTAATATTTGGACCATACTGATAGCTGTTAGATTATCTTTAATACCTTGAATTCCACACAAAAGATAGGATTCTTCGCATCTTGGAATACCTCAACCACTTTCCTTACTCTCCTTCACTTGAAAGGCCGAATCTTCGGGAAGCTTCTACCTGCTCAAATGGTTATGACAAGTATTATCTTTTCCAAAAATTGTAGCTATTTGTGGGTAATTGTAGCTATTTGTGGGTACATGAATTATGAAGAAATCAATTACTTTACTCATGACTATTCCTTTCGATTTTCACAGAAATATTTTTAATATGAAAAATAATAAATAAGATTTCAATTATGCTTTTCACTGTATATAAATCTTGGTTTTTGACACACTTTCCACTCAGTAAAAAAGTTTTTCGATTTTCTCCAAAATACAATGAAAAGTTCAGCCAATAGAATCACCAACTGAGAATCTGTCACTGTCAGTCTGTACATGTGATTCGAAGACTGACAAAAAAAATCAACAAACTAGACTTTGTCATTAACTTCAATCATAAAACCATCTATTCTTTACTTACATTTATGGTCGCTAACTCAGACTTTCTTTAATAAGACACCAAGTGGCCAACTGCCTTTACTGCGGCTATCAAAGCACATTTTCTGTCACTACGGGAAGCAGAATTCAGTCGCTAATTGTAGAACCGGAACGGTGTTTGTTTTTTTCAAAGACGAATTTCTCATAAACCTACGCGCGCGGGTGACGTTAAACGTAGTTTTAATTTTAAACAGCCTTAGTTAATATTTACCTTTGAAAATGAGTGACTCGGTCCAATATAGTTATTCTGCTTAGAACAGCTGAGGTGTAACGTTAACTTTTTTTTACCTCCCTGTGTTTCATTATGGACAAAAAATCTCTAGAAGCAAAAATACGTTATCAAGTAGCCTGTGAAGAAAAGGCACACCGTATTGTTGAACAACTTATAGAACCTGGAATATCAGAGAATGTGTTGACAGAAGCAGTATGTGAAGCTTTGTGTTTATATCTATTTTTTAATCATCATGATCATGTCACAAGCACCTCAATTTTTATCAGTCAGTTTCTCAGTAAGCCAAACATTGAAAAATTTTATCCTCTCTATATAATATGTTTTACGGTGTGACTATTGGGGCGAGCACAGTTATACCATCAAAAACACTTGAAAAATTGATCAGCCACTTCCAACATCAAACATCAAGCCGCATGAGACATCTCGAATATCTGTAACACACGACGTCACGGGGCTCGTCAGAGCTTACGGAGACAGCCAGGCATCTGGTTGAAACTATAGACTTAGTGAAATTTTGGTCAAAAAACATTGCAAAGCTATTTTGTGCTTCTTTGAAAGATTTCTACAAATTGAAAGACTTTTATGCTTTAAGTTATTATTTATTTATTTGTGCAATGGACATTGGGTAGTAAAGGAATTCTGGGAATGTTTCACAGAGAAATTTGCCTGATGTATGTACAGATTTCATTCCAAAGTTCCTCTGTTCTTACACGTTAGTCTTTTGTTGAGCTCGCTGTGCTCGCTATAAATTCATTAATTTATATAGAGAGTAGTATAATTTTTCAATGTATTAATATATAAAGATCATGATGGTAGAATTTTTCAATGTTTGACTATTTGAGCAACTGATTGATAAAAATTCAGGTGCCTGTGACCATGTATATATACTCAATTTTTAAATCCGCACTAAAGTCTTTATGGCAAAACAGCAAATAGATAAACTATTTCAAAGCATATTAATTTTTTCATTTTATTGTTACACATTGTATGTTGAATGAACTTTTTGTTGATTTTCTTTCCCTAGGGACTATACATTACACCTGACCACTACCAGGACATAACAGAAGAAAGATCAATCTCTCGTCTGTGTGGATATCCAATCTGTGATAACAGGATTACAAAAGTAAAGTTTTCCAGAAATAATTTAAACATCTATGTGACCTAGTCTCTTTTCAGACATTTCTCTCCTAAATTTTAAGATAGCTTTCTCGTTTTTTAACTGAAGATTTTTTTAAAAGCTAATCCTCTCAAAGAAATGGATTTTCCCCCAAAATTTAATTTTAAATTTCATTTTTGTATTTGATTTCTTTTCAGGTGTTGAGTCAGAAGTATCACATCTCAACAAAAACTAACAAAGTTTACGACATCACAGACAGGAAGGTCAGGAGATAGTTGTAAATGCTTAGGTTAAAATCTAGGAAATGAAAAATGCCTTCAGATTTCTCAATTCTAATTCAGAAATAAATTTTGTTTATTTAATACCATAGCTTGGTACGTATAAAAACAGTATACCAGGACATAATACACAAGACATATCGTGTATTTCTAAATTATCTATTTATTATTTCATGCAGTTCACTGTGCATTAATGCATTCATTATCCAGTTGTATAAAAAATATACCTGTTGGAAAAAGTACGTACCAAATTTAACTCTATCTATATTTATGTAAATGTAATGTTTTGAATATTACAGAACTTTTGCAGCAATGAATGCTACAAGGCATCAGTATTCTTCCAGAAACAAATTGCTACTTCTCCTCTATGGAGTAGAAAAGAAGAAAAACCCAAGCTAATAGAATTACTTCCAAAGGAACTGAACAGGTAGATACAGGAAAAATGCATTTGCCTTGAGAGAGAATTTTTGTGTTCATGAAAGAATTTACTAGTTATTCTTTAAAGGAATGTATTTCAATGTTTTTCTTTTTATGCACATTTTCTTTTTTCAAAAACGAAAACCAAATATACCTAGTCATTTTCTGATAAGTTAGAATTGACAATTTTTTTTTTTCACAAGTACCGGTACATGAAGCATAGGTATCAGTTAAGAATTTTGAACTTGCTTATAAGTTAAACCTTTTCAATTCAAACCAGAGATTTGTCCATTAGAAAGAATCAAATCAGTTTTTAAACTCTCTTTGGTATTCTTCTGTAAGATTTTCTTTTAGATATTTTTTAAAATGCATGAATAGGTAGTTTAATTTATTCTTTCTACAGAGGTTCTGTTGGAAAAGAAGTGATAAACACACATACAGAGCTGTACAGAGAGGCGAAAAGATTTAGAGATGAAGAGAAAAAGCTACAGCAAAAGGCAGCAAGGGAGAGAAGTATGGCAGAGGAGCAAGATAAAACTGTGCATGATGTTGTGGCAGGTGTTGAAAAACTCAATGTAAATGATGAAAATCAGAGTGACAAGAAAAATCCTGTATGTAAAGTTGAAGCAAAGGAAGACAAAGATAAACATGAGGAAAATTCTGGTCATCAAGAAAATAGAACTGAAAAACAGAAAGGGTCCTCTTCTGATGTATTATCTACTGCTTCTGAAAATGAACAAAGTGAAAAGATTAATAGACTAATGGCTCTTCTAGACAGGAGGAAACATTTGTTAGGAAAACTGGTACAAGATGAGAAAGCACAGTTACCATCTACAACTAACAGTGAAAAGGTATCAGCAGCTGAACATGCAGATGTCTCTGTAGCCAAACCATGTGAAGAAGACAATGATGACAGTGATGATTCATGCGATGACTCTGAAAAAGACTCTCAAAGTGATGTTAAAAATCGAAAAACCATTGTCCAGTCATGTGATACAGCCATTAGTGAAAAAGTCCCCAGTGGAGCGATTTCTCAAGATTCAGAAAATGTTTGTGTAAAGACAAAAAGGAAAGAAAACAACCCTTCTGAAATATCCTACTTAAGCATGGTGTGTGAGTTAATGAAGGAATGGATCACTCTGGAGACACTGAGGTTTCTGGATTGTCAGGATCAGGAGTTTGAGAGACAAGCTGGAGTAACTACAGAGATGGAGGCTAAAATAAAAGACCTCTGTAGAAGGGTGGATCAACAGGAAGCTGCACTTGATGGCCTTATAGGTATACCTTGCATATTTCTGTGATGTGACATAAATTAATTAAGAGAGTTTTTTGTTATATTCTAAAACACACTTTTTCTTCCCATTTTATCAAAGAAAATTAAAATATTCAATGACATATTGAATATGAACCAGAAGTGTGCAGATTGACCATTGCAGTTTTTTTGCTAAAGACTCTGCTTTATTTTGTTAAATGATTTAATGCATTGGTAAACTGGTTAAGTCCCATCATCAATAAGTTTTATAATATGATTTTTTCCACTATGTCATCTATACAATTATATGTTTTGAAACTGGACCTTGTTTGCCTTTACAGGTGAGCAAGAGAGTTTGGAGGATAAGCTCCCTGTTCGGTCGTTAGCACCAGATTACAAATCACTGAAGAAGGAAACTGAAGACTTCTCACAAAGGGTCAACAGCTTCTTTGCTGGTGGGAAAGCTGTCACCGAGAAGGTAAGTAAATGGATTTAAAGTGAAAAATACAAATATATGTACATGTACCTACAAACTTTGAGAAAAGAAGTGGTCAGATTCAGTTTTCATCAGTATTGTACTATTGTAATAATACTGATTTTTTTTTTTGGAACTGCAACTTTAGATCTTGTATGTATTTTTAAAAAAATGACTTTGGTTGTACTTCATTCACATTATACTTTTTAAATAGGGCTTAAAAAAGAACATATAAATTAAAATGTCAGCTGTTTATATAAATATTTGACCTTTGACTGTTTAAGGAGGTAAAGAGTCAGGCCCCCGTGTACCTGCCTTCTGTGGATTCTCACAACCAGCTGCTGATAAGACAGAGAATTGTGATGGATCAACTTAACAAAGTGTGAGTATCTCTGATCACAAACATACAGATAAACTTTGGTATCTCAAAGACTGATATCTCAAATATTATGGATTTGTCAAAGTGATAATGAAGTCTGATATACTTATTTTTTTTTTATATCTATTTTACTCTCGATATTTTGAATGCTGGGAATACAAAGTTTTTTCTACATCCTATTGAGTTCAAGATAATTAGGTTTGACTGTAGTTTAAAATTACCATGTTTAATATATTTAATATATTTGGACTTATATTGTAACTAAAAGACAGTAAATATGTCTTGTCAAACTGCACAAGTAATATTTATGAATATTTTCTTTTTGTGAAGATCATTTATAAATGTGATTTCTGGGTCGAATCAAAATGTATGTAAAATGATAAAGCTTATTTTTCAATGCTGATTATGCTGATCAAGCTAATTTTCCAGTGCTGATTATTTTGAAGTAAAATAGTTTAAAACATTAATCATTTTAGTATACCAGATCTCCTTCCACCATTGAAGCTCAGCATTCAGGATGTATTTACAGAACTAAAGCAGCTTGTTACAACATTCAGGTTTGTAATTGTGTTTTCTTCATTCATTGCTACATGTATAAGACATCATTAAAATGTTTTGTTTGATTTACTTCATCCCACATCTTTCAAGGTTATTTAATTTTTTTTTTGAAATCATATTACACATTGATAATCATAGTAAAAATCAGAGACCTAGAAAACTTCAATCTAAATTTTACTGCATACCAAAACTTAAACTGAGTACTGAAATAAAATGAGTAGGAGTAATTTGACGGGTCAATAAGGGTACATCAAAACTGATCAAACTGACTTATATGTTCATTTACTGGATTAGTGATAAAAAAAAATTCAGTAGGTTTTTCTCCAGAAACTGAGTAAATCTCTGTTATCAGTTACAGCAGTCAGTCCTTGGTATTCTGTAAATGTAATTTGTATAGTTTAATTTTTTGTAGGTTGACCAGTAAAAATATCTTGTTCAAACCAGCTGAATGGTCATTGGTTGGATTGCTGCTTCTCAAAATGTAAGGTTATTCAACTGAAAGCTGGTAACATACTATGCTTGATACATGTACATGTAAATACAAAACAATATGGAACTGTTTAGTTTATATGTACATGGATGTATATGATACAGAATCAAGCATCATATGTATCCCTTTCAAGTTTTCATTCTTAACAAATGTGCAAAAAATAATTTCAGTTGAATATCAGTTTGTAAGGTTGAATAAGAGTTTTTTTTCTGTTTTCTTTTTCCAGCTTATCCAGAAAAAATCTCCAGGTGTCCTGTGCCTTTCTGAACACCTCTGCTGTGGAATACTTCTCCATTTTCTTGGGCAGCATTGGGGAGGAATTAGAAAAGGTTGATCTACATGTGACTAAAATGCTTCAAAAGGGCAAATAAACTTAAATAAAATATTTTTTTGTCTTCCTTATTTTCATCTACATTGAAAACTTTCTAATCTGACACCTATGCAATCCATGTCACTGTGAACTCTTACCCATATTTAAATTCTTTTTTACCGTTTTTCTATTTTGTATAAAATACCGTGAAGTCCAATACTCTGTCTATTCTGATGCAAAATTTATGTCCCTTTGCATGTCAGATAAGACAAGTTTTACTGTATTATGCCACAAAATGGAAGTACTGGAAGTACTGTAAGGCAGAGGCATGAACACTGGACAATCAAATTGAAATTGGATGCTTACTATCTTAGTAAATATCTCAGTAAGTATTCAGTGTAACTAACATCTTGATTCAGTATAACTAATCATAGACATCAATAAAAGTTGAAGGGGTGCGTATCATTACCGCTACATTTCAAAATTTTCATTACCGCTACATAGTCATTACCGCTACAAAAAACCTTACATTTCCGCTACATAAAAAAGTATACATTACCGCTACATTGCTCTTTCGTTAGCCAGCCACATATGCGTGTACAGTACAACCTATAAATGCACGTTTCCCCTGCTCACCACGGGGAGGTGAAAGTAGGACTTTGAGCAGGATATTTTTTATTTTTATTAAAATCAATTTTATTTCATAGAACACAAAATAATTAAAATCAAGCACTGTTCATACATAAAATTCAATGTTTTGTCAAATGTTTTTTACACTATCGCTAAAACCTTGAAAGCCATTTGCTTGACATATTGTTGTTTTCTAAATTTATAACCATCGATAAGTAAGCCAGCATTCCCTCGAGTTGTAACAAACTTCTCAGTTGTGACCATAATGTTTAGATGACGCTAAATAATTAAATTTTGACTGCAAACATATTTATATAAATATATTCATTCTGATTAGATATTGAGTGATCATGAATTCTGTTGATTAAAGAACTCATACACTGAACCATACCTGGCTAAATCGATATGTAGCGGTAATGAGTTGTTTTGGGCTGATTCAATATGTAGCGGTAATGAGTTGTTTTTGGCCAGAAAAATGTAGCGGTAATGATCGGTCGAAAATCTGAAAAAATGTAGCGGTAATGAGTTGAAATTTTTGGCAATGTAGCGGTAATGTTGACCTCCCCGTTGGGATCCAGATCGTTGAAGAGAATTTTATAACTTATGTAACTGTATGTAAATGTAGAAGACAAAAAAGTCTTTCTGAACTAAAAATATAAATCGGTAATGGGTTGAATTTTTTGGCAATGTAGCGATAATGTTGACCTCCCCGTTGAAGATCCAGATCGTTGAAGAGAATTGTATAACTTATGTAACTGTATGTAAATGTAGAAGACTAATTTCTTCCCAAGTCAAGTCTTTCTGATCACTAAGCTAAATATAAATCCTTGATTGAATAGACTGTGTTTGACTGATTAACTATTGTTTCATCTAGTGAGATTACAAATGAACTTAAATGACCTTTGCTGTTAACCAATCGGAGTACAATACTGGAATTTGGTAATAAATTCAGCATAAGTTCAAATCCAAAGCTTAAACTGAAATTGGCATGTTTTTTTTCTGTTTATGATTTAGTTTCAGGTTAGGTTAAACAATTTTGATGATTAGCTCTTAGTTCTCCCGCATTTATGAGACATATCAGAATGCTTACCTGATTATACTTTAACTTTTCAATTGTCAACTCCTTACTTTTGTAGCAATATACCTTTATCACTTGCATTTAGGGTTTATATGCCTCTCGGCTGAATCGATGCGCAATAGCATGTATGTTCTGCGTTTGAACAATTCAAAAAATAAAAAATGTTTTATAGCAAGCTTTTCACAAAAATTCATTTTGATGAAACAAGGAAATTCAAAATTCACAATTAGGGCCCTTGTTCATAAATAAAGTCGTCATTTTGCAAGTTTATTGTTCGATACAATAATCGTGTCAGTATATACAACCTATCATTAAGTCAAATGCTGACTGACGTTTTTCAGTCTAATTGTTAGCGGGGTATTTTCATACCGTATTGTCTGCGGGGTTATTTTCTCAGTCATAACAAATATCACAAGGTTGGTGTGACCGGTCGGCAAGGAATGTTCATCCCTCCATGGCGCCTGACCCCACCTCTGATGTTTTTTGGGAGGCACTCATGTCATCATAACTATGCACTCCCAGGGTTTTATCATGTTTATAGGCTATATAATCAAAGCTTGAAAACAGATCAAAAAATGTAGCTCATCATAACTATGCACTATATGTACACACACCAACTGTGTATACATTACATGCTGTAAAATCACTAATTTTCGTTAGGGTTTAATTTTCGTTGTTTTCATTCAAGGTATAAAAGATGTACGAATTGATGTCCACCACGAAATGCAATTTTTCACATATACCGTACTTAGTTGGTTTATTTAATACCTAGCAGAGAATTTTCAAAGAAATAATGCATTTTCACTATAATCCCACATGAAGGGCCATGAATATATTTGGTAAAGGACCTGCTGAACACATGCAAAATTTGACTGCTTGATGTCCAGAAAATATTTTTGATTTTAATTTTAGTGGTTTTGGCCCCACCCCTCAGGCCCCAGGTATCTGAAATTCACAGTTGGTTTACATAATATTTGTGCCAAATTTGGTTTTTTTTGTTAAAAAAACAACTTTAAATGTTCAAATGTTAACACACGAAATATAATTTTAAAAAAATGTACTCTTTGCAATGTATTCATCGGAAAGGGAAGGGGAAATGTTACCATCCATGAGCTTCTCGGGCGTTTTCTTGGAACGTTTACCAATTGATTTTATTCTACTTTAAAAAATGGCAAAACTGTGACCACTGTCGGTCTCGTTATATGGACAAAAGTAGTATAGATTTCTTTTGTATTCAGCTTTCCCTTTTTATTAACTTCTCTTAGTATCAAAGTGATCTAGAAAATCAAGTTATCATTAAAACAATTTATGCAACTTTTAATTTCAAACATTGATGGAATACTATAGTATTGTGCAAATAGATGTCTAGAAGCATATAGTCCATTGTCTGTCTATAGATCTAAAAAAATATTTTAATTCAAAGAAATTTTGCCTATATCAATTTTATAATCAAGTAAAAAATTGATGTTCCACTCTTATTTACGGTACACGTGTAATTATAAGCAGTTGCCTAGAAGTATCCAGTTCATTATTTGACCATTTCGCCTATCCTCTTCTTTTAGACACGTCCTCGTCATTATAGGGCTCTGATGTATCGCTGTCTTCATACGCAACCGCTATTTCTCCCTCTTTAGACAGAGTATCGCTCGTTACTAAGTTACTGTCATCATGGCTGTCGTTTGGAATCCAGCTTCTGTCGTCTGATTCCGATTCCAACGAGTCGTCTGCTCGATTTACGTCAGTAATATACGTATCACTTTCAAACTGACAGTCTTCCTCGAAAGACCTCTTTCCGTCTGACGATTCGGGAAATTCGTCGTCGTCCTCTTCGTTGTCATCTTCTTCGTCGTCTTCAGCCTCGCTTACCTCGTCTTCTTCCTCTTCTTCGTCCTCGGATTTAGGTTCCTCGTACTTTACGATCCTGTACAGAGCCTCGGGGTTTGACCTTAGGTCACGTATAATGATCCTCAGGGCCTTCTCGGTTTTTTCTAACGTCTTTCGATCATGGTCGTGTAGAAGGTCAAGTTTGTTCAGAAAGAAAGACGGCGCAGATCTATTCCGAAGTTCTGACAAGAGAAACTCTAAGACGGCAAGCAACCATTCCTCACATTTGTGAATGTAGCCCATGCAACGTCTGTGAACATGTAAAATGGCGTGAATTATCATTCGGTACGATATAGATATAAATGCCTCCTGGTTTTCTCGTTTCATTTTGCCTATGATGAGAATTATATTGTCGAAATGCGCTCCTGTGTTCATTCCTGAAATAATTTTATAAGCACGATCTTCTAATGGTCCCGATCCAACCTGCCACGAAACAGCAATACTGGGATCGAATTTCGTTTTTAGATCCCATTTGAACATCCTTGCTTCTAGCAGAAAAAGTTCAACTCCTCTATCTATAGCCTTATTAATGGTGCAACGCATTTCAGAATTCGTCTCACCGTAAGGTCTGCGATTAGGAATCGGGATAGGTAGCGATAACTGTTTAGGGATTTCTTGAAGAGGTACGCATGGGATGAAATTGATTCTGAATTCCTTTGTGGGTGTTGCGTCAAAGAGTTCCGCAACTTCCAACCACAGTGTGCCATCCTTTGGAGATGTATAAGAACAAAGGTCAAAGGTTACAGGGCCAGGTTGATCGAACATGTAAACGATTTCACTCATAACAGCCTCCCGTGCCATTTCAAGACCTGAAACAAGTATGTATCAAAATAATGCTTGTCGGATATATTGTTTTTTAATTTATAACTTTGGAATAACGGTAATTTTCAGATATGAGCAGTTGATAAATTACGGTTATATTTTTCAATTCAGGATACTAAGCACTACTAGTATTTTGGTGCAATATGTTTTACTGTATACGTGTTGAGACGAAATAATTATCACATTGAGGAAATATGAACTTCGTCAATACAACGTTTTATAATCATGTGCAGAGGTTTTTTTAATGTATATAAGAAATATTTTTCGTATGGTACCTTTATTAAACCATCGAAGAACAAAGTCTGGTCTTATAACACCATGTCTATCAACACAATGCCCCCATTCGTGCTGAACCTGGATCCGCTCCACTTTTGGAATTGTGTCATTTATACAAAGTAACATTCTATGGCTTGGATATTCGCGTGGTCTCTTGTGGCGAAACTGAAAAAAATGTGCATATATACTGCTAAACTAGAGAACTGTTGCATGACATTCATTTCATGTTGGAAACGATTGATAAATCATATGCCCATAGGATTTTTTTTTGACAAATGAAAATCCAAGATGTGTAAATACTTTTTTAATATGGAGATGTTTCGTACTTTAAGATAAAATTTCTTTTTTATTTCTGAGTTAAATGATTTAATGAAAGCTGGTGAACATAATACTCAGTATACCATAAAAGTTTGCGGTCTCACAGGGCGTTTCAATGCCACACAGCACTGAAACACACAAGGATCAATAGCCCGGAAGTCCAAAATGTCCACTTTCCCGCTCTTCGTGGTCCGGATATAGCGCCGGAACAGAGAATGTAGACTGTTCGTCAGAAGGAGCATGCGCTCTGCAACATATCTAGCAGTGCCGAAGACTTCTTGTCTCTTATTCAAGATGTCCTGACGTTGTTGTGTCTGCAAAAAACCCGAAATTTAACGAGACATGCAATGTACGATCGAAAAATTAGAAGTGAACATGGATTTTCAATCTCAACAGTATCCCTCGCATGACTATTATAATTGAAAGATGTCCCTTAATTGCTATTTAAAGATTGGCGTTTTCTTTTTGGTTGATTTTTAACTATCGATCTCCGTTTTTGTGTAACCTAAAACTTTACAGAAAACGACTCTAACAGCATGTTTGACAAGAACATTAATTAGGATGCGGACCAAGTCAATAACTGCAATCAAGAGACATCTAGACGTGTCTGTAACAACTAAAAATCATTAAAAAATTAAATATAAATGGCATGCTTCAAATTTATATACATGTATACAATTACATATTTTAGAGAAAATACAATATTCTTATTAGCAATGCATTTTTTTCATAGAATTGCATGTAATATTGAAAGCTATATAGTATACAATTAAAACAGCTTTCACTTTACATTTTTTTGGCTATATATGTATCTAGATAAATCGCAAGCTTAGATATGGGCTTAAAATTGTAGAATTAGTCGATAAAGTCTAAATGTTGAAAGAAAAATCTTTGGTTTTCTAAGAAACCTTTTTGCTTCTATCATTTGTACACGCATCATAAACGGTATTATTTCACTATCTTTATGACTTTGTTCGTCACCTATTACACTGGTACCCGTTTAATTATGTGAGGATAATACAAGCCACTTTCAATATTAATATAAACACAGATACATTCAAACATGTTTGTTTTTTAACACTTAAAACTTCAAAATCGCGACCATGTCAGAGTAATTTGTACTCACCAAAACGGTTTTGAGAACTTGGTCCAGGGTAGGTCCATCATGGTCCTTGGACCGAGTCGTCTGCGCAGCATTAGAATTAAAACTCAGACTCAAATTGTCGTCATCCATCCATGACGTCATTGCCGATTTCTGTCGTCTGGGTGGGTCTGGGGGCCGATTTCGTCTAGCTGGAATGCTTGTCTTTGCCCTTCGCTGTAAAGAAGACATTGTTAAGCCCCTCTAGCTAGATGTACGTCTCCAATCTAGAATTAGCTTGTTGTCCATATCTCTTAAATCTTGGAATTCAATAGATGTATATCAATAATGCATGTACTTAATAAGATAATTGAAGTGAAACATGCTGGTATTTTATGGGAGAAAATGTCATTTATCTCGTGCGGATTGGGTTTTAGAAAGATATTGAAAAGATAGTTTATGTCTTACCATTTTTGAAAGATATGTCCAATGATACTAAAGGAGACCAATATACGGAAACGCATTACACATGGCCTGATCTTATGAACTCAATCAATACAGGGCACTCACTCCAGCTAATCCCTCAATGATATCTCAGTTCTTTCACCGGCTTGTATAAAATCCAGTTATATGTAACGACTTCCCTAACTAAGAATTGCATGCAATCTTTTTCTCAGACATCGAGAACAATTTTGATATAGACCATTCGTACCCACTTCGGAAAGTGTTTTAAACAATGGTCTGCATGAACTCCAATTAACGGTCGATTGACCGCAAAATCAAAGTATACACTTGGGAGAAATATATAGATTCCTAATATCTTTAGTAAGTTAGCCGGTCCAGGTTTTATCGACTCTAGAACATATTATTATTTTACAATGAATTCTGATCGTCCATGCATGCGTTTAACCCTTTAAAAGATTGAGCCGTATTTTATTCCGGCGCTCTTTTGTCTTTGGCGATCATTAACCCAAACAGATTACATACCCTAATAAGGATATTATCAGTTAACGGCGTCAGATGACGGTATAGTGTATGGCTGAAAACAATTGTACCTCAAAGATGCCTAGCTCCCTTAGAGCGGGAACCATCGGATTCCGATAGCAGATCGCGGGGGTGGAAGTAAGCGATATTAGCAAGGGAGACGTAAACTTTCATCTAGCTTAGTGGGGCAATACATCGAGTTCCTCAATCCATCTTGGTTGCGAACGTCCCAGTGGTATCAATATCTTGTATCTTCTCCAATACATGGCGCATTGGCTTATGAATATTCTTTAGTTTATTGCCTTATATACCATATGAATCATATTTATACTTCCTTTTCTCTGGACCTCTTAAATCTTTCACAGAGGCATCAAAGTTGTTTCCAAAGTTCTTATAATGTAATTATTCAGAAATGTTCGAACTCATGAATATACTAGGACTGCTCTTGTCTTTTTAAATCAAACATTGTGGAAATCATGAATAGCCCACGAATGAAGTGGACATACTCAGTAATTTTGTTAAGTTAATTGAAATATTGTACTTACCAAGTAAGAGATACAATCCTTTGGAAAATATAATGGTATCAAAAAGTAATAACGTATGAGTCTCTCAGTTAATTATTTTCACTCAGTAATTAGACTGTAAGACTGGTTATTGGGAAAAAAAGCTACGTATAATTGATTATTCGATGTGTAAATAAACTTTCAACAATAAGTTTTAAACACGTAATCAATATACATATGCACTGTGACATAAAGGGATGTTGTTTCCCTCAAAGTAGTATGCCTGTACTTGGTTAGTCTGTTAATTTTTTTTTAGAGTTTCTATTTTTCTCTTGAGGTGTATACCACGACTGTAGACTAACACTAAGTTTAATCGTTACACGAAGACAAGTCCGCCGAAATTTTTCAAATAAGCAGTGCAAGAATTTGCAAATTAACAGTCTACATTTTCCCCCGCCAAATAATTTCCCTACCCTTAATCTAATTACGATCAGATTTTCTTGGTAATTGTGATGTTATATAGGTTTAATGTGTTTCATAATAGACATGAGTATTATTTTACGTCTGGCACCTCTTGGAAAACTAAATAATTGCCAATGTAGCAAAAGTTCAACGTGTTGAATTTGTGAGAATCCGATATCACGTTTTTGATTAATTTTATTCATTCATAATCTCTGAGTAATTTATATCATATTGCACTGTGAATTATATAAGACACTTATCCAGTTTATTATTCTTTTTTTCAGAGGAGGGGGGAGGTCCAGCTCAGAAAAGTAGCAACGAAAAGAAAGGGGCATATTGAAGGGAATGATGGGGGATGTACTGTGTCTATATTCAATATATATAAATGAATTTGACAGAAAAGATCTAGAAAAGAAATATTGTGGATTCAAAAGACTTAGAACTGGTGTAACCAGACAATACAGTGTATTTATAATTTCCACACATATTACGATATGTACCCCTATACATATACATGTATACATGCTCCAGCAGTCCCAGAAAGCAGTACCCGGGACTGCTCTGGAACTGCTTTGTGTCAGGTTGGGTCTGGTCGGTACTGTACTATACGATTGTATACTTTACGCTATAGTTAGGGTTAGAGGTAGCCTAGAGTTAGGATTAGGCAGAAGGGGCAGAGACGTATCTATTACATTACGTCTCTGGAAGGGGTTAGGGCCATCTTCGCTATAGCCAAGGGTGACGATCCGAAAGAGGAGAGGAGCGGATCGTCACCCTTGGCTAGCGAAGATGGGTTAGAGCTAGCGTTACGTTTTCTAGATTGTCCTTGTTTTAGAGCAAACGTCTTGCGTTTTTTGTGTGTTTTTTAAGTTGTCTCTCTCCTCCGTCCCTTCAACTTTCTTTATCAATCAGTTCTTTTAAATTTGCTTTCTATATCCCACTTCCTTTCTCACCAATCTCCCTTTTCTCCGGGACCTAATAATTTTCCCACCTCCTTTTTCCCTTCACACCACCCTTACTCCTATGTTCAGTTTATCATGTGTGTTCCTGTACATTCCTATGAGCCCCCCCCCCCCCCCTTGTGGTATCATCCTACCTGCTTGGGTCGTGATATGAACAAACTTAAACCTACTCTACCTATACATACTATTTTTGAGTGCTTTCATACCTTTTTGACTTTCATGACATTACTACTCTTCCCCTATATTCTGAATATATTCCTATGTGAAACTGAGATCATCCAATACTGTTGTCCAACCCTGGCTCCAGGAGTCATGATTTGAATAAATTTAAATTCACACTATGTAAAAAAAGTATTCTCTTTAAATTTTGAATTTTTTTGCCCAATAATAAATCTTGAGAAGAAGATTTTTATAGGGATGACGACCGAGTTCAAACTTGCCGATCGGTTAACCGCAGCACACTCCGAACGATGAACCTTTTTATCGCATCAAATACAATGTACACAATCTCTTGATACACGGATATTGAGGGGTTTTATTTTCTTAAGTAAGGCCTTTCCATTTACACAAAAAGAAAAGACGTCATGTAGCTTTAATTCTTTATTGTTCAATCAAAACGCTTATTTTTCTCACCCTAAAATTCGATTTTTAATAAGCAACAAGAAACAGCAAAGAGAACCACGAAACACGTACATGTACAAACACACGTAATGTAGAGCTGAATATCATTTCCAAAAGCGAATGTTGTAAAAAAAAAAAAAAATCAAAGATATGTGTAACACTTGAAAAATTTTCTTTATTTTTAATTTGAGTCAAAACACAGGTGCTTGTGGACAGACCCCCGCCCCATACACCTTTGTGTCCAAAGATTTTTTTTTCATTAGTCTGTTTTCTTTCATTACATACATATTTAATATTAACATATATTCCAAATTACAATTTCAAAAATAAAAGTGAATAAAATGTACGAAAGCCTATTAGGATCAATCTATGGAGGAAAAATTAAAAGGCGTATTAACGCCTATCGAAAAGGCGTTTAACGCGAAAAAAGGCGTATTTACGCCTTTTCAAAAGACTGATATAACGTCTTTTTAAAAGGCAAGTATAATTTTTTTTCGAAAGGCATCATTACACATTTCCCTCCCCTAAAGGTGTTATTTTGCCTTTCCAAAAGGCGTAATTACTCGCTTTTAGAAAGATATACGCTTTTTTCGCGTTATTACACCTTTTCGAAAGGTGTTATAATGTCTTTTAAATTTTTGTCCCCATAAATTGATCCCAATAGGTTTTCGTAATAATGAAAAAAAAGACAATTAGCAAATAAAAATATCTTTGTTTTGACCTGGGGTGAGGGTGGGGGGTAGTGGGAGTTCCCTTACACAAGCACCTGCAATCTTCAAAATGTTTTATGCTTTCTTAAGGACAGATGATACAAACAAACGTTTATTAGCAATTTTGTTTAATAATAAATTTGCATTATTTATAATCAAAATAAATCCAAAAATATTTTTACCAAATTTATTGCCCTGAATGGAATATGGTATAGTACAACTTGACAAAAGGTGTGTATTTCCGGTTAATCGAGAAAATGCGGGAAATCAAACTGACAAAGAGACAAGATTATCGCTAAATGAATATTTTTTGATCACAAGTAAATATATTTATATTCATTTACAGGTAAGTAAATTCACAGTAGCCTACATCGTTCTGATGTTACAATATGCATGGATAATGTTTATTAACACAGTAACTGCGATATTAAAGTAGATAGTTTTAGTTTAGTCATGCATGATGATTATCATTACTTTGATGCATGAATTTGTTTTAAAAAAATCTAAAGACCTTTCTCTGATGTTTGTATTGAGATATAACGCTTTCTCAAAATACATTGCATTTGTATAGCGATCAAACGGGTTTGATCACCGATGGCCTGATGTTTTAAGTGAACACCTGAATGGGGGATTTCAGGTCTAATTTCGTATCACGGTCCTTCGCATTTTTCTCTTTTCCTGTTACATTTGTTGCCGTGCCACGCCCAGGAAATGACAGGCAAAGATCTGCCAGAGAAGAGCCTGGGTTGGTGTATTTGGAAGGGATGAATGCAGCAGTCAGAATTGCAGTTGTCAGTCACTGACTCATTGGCACAGGCACTTGTTTCGTATAGTATACAGTGCACCCTACCTATTTCTACCACAAGGTACCTAACTCAATTTCAGGATAAAACCAGAGACCTCAGAATAGATATTTGGAAGTCTCTGTTTTATTCTACGTCTTTAACTCAAACCGGAAATTGATATTGTATCTTGTCCTATGTCTTATTTTGTATCGAGAGTAATTGAGTGGTTTACAATAAATAGGCTCAATCAGAGACTTCTGAAACGATTTAATTGACAAGAAAAAAGTCTCTCAAAGCAAACGGTGTCATTTGAAAGTAGATTTATGATTGAAATATCAAAAAAATACGAGCTTTAAGCTGAGGTGCCTGAAATTGAGTTAACTGTGGTAAAAATAAGTGGGGGTGCCCCATATATACGAAACAAGTGCCTGTGCTCAGTGGCCAGAATATAGATTGAATGTTCATTTGTTAAAATGATATTTATCCTACGGTGAGGTCTTGTCCCGAGACAATATGTTAGATTATTCTAACTTGCCAGAATACTTTTTTTTGCTCTCTCCCGACTCAGGGTGAAATGAATGGGTTGGTAGGTAGGTGGAAAAATCTTTTTTCCAGAAAATTTCAACATATTTGTTGAAGGGATAAGAAGAATAAAAGAAAAAAAAAATTGTATCCTCACTATCCTGGAATATGAAAAAAAAGTTCTGAGTTGAGCCATTTTTAGTCAGTCGGTCAGGAGAGGGCAACCAAATAATTTTTTAAAAATGATCTTACTTTGACTGCTTGTGATGATCAAATGGGTTGAGCTGAATTCCCTGCAGGCTTCAGCTTTCCTTTTGGGAATCCTTTTCACTCTTTCACTCCCTATCACTACAAAGCTTTCATTTCTTACCTTTAAAAGGTTTAAATCCAACCAAAAATCAGGTTGTTACATGTAATTTCTCATACATGTAGCTCTGGCATATTCATTAAAACCTCCAACCAGTCAAGGTCATGAATAATCTGCTTCAATTTCTTTGAAATGGTTCTATTCTATACCTAATCGTAGAAGAACGAAGTTCAAGCAATATGAGCTGTAACTTTGATGTCAAAATTTTTTGTTGCTATTGGTAGTGGAGCTATTTTTGACACAATGTTAATTCATCACCTTAACCTAAGGTAATTATGGGAAGTTCAAGGTCATGCATTGGCAGAAAAGTTCAAACTTTTACTTTATAATATAGAATCATTGGAAGCTCATACTTAGTACAGAGATGGTTTATGACCTGTAGATATATTAAGACTGTAAATTTGTTACTGAGAACTAAACCAATTATTTTGCTGGCTGATCAATGATCATCAAATTCCTTTTGATTTTGGGCAAAATAGCTTCATCTATCAGTTTATATTTAATTTGTTTTAGTTTAAATACTTGTAAAGATTGGTGACAGTGTTGTATTCCACTCAGGTGACCGTTCAGGGGCTTCTTTTTATTGAACAGAATGTTTATTAGCATTTACTTTGTTATTTTACAATTCCATTTTGAAAACAAAAATTAAAAGTGGTACATGCCAAAGGTATAAATTTTAGTGCTAATGTTTATATTCTAATTATGCATGTACTATGCAATGATAAATTCAGCAGATCTACATATTATGTAGCTTATATGTTACATTAAAAGGTTTAGGATTTAGTTAATTTATTACATGTATTTAAAACTAGCCATAGAAGACAGCTGAATAATGATAATATTGAAATTTATCAGTTGTACTGAAATATTTAAGTTCATTTCCTATTGAATATTTCAAAAATGAAAAGAATCTTTTCTTGAGAATGGCAATTTTGTAAATCAAGGACAATAACTTTTTTATGGGTGTCTACAAACATTTCCATTTATAGAGTAACCTTTCTTGAAGTTAGTTGCCACTTTAAAGCTCTCTTATTGTTACTCTATTTACAGTGCTCTGTGTGTGCATGCAAACCTTCCATACATCTTTTTATATTATTTATTTTAATAAGAATTTATTTTCACTTATTTACTCCACACCCTCTTCTCCCCAAAAATTCATTTGTGTATGTATTAATATAGAGTTAGGTACAGAGAGTTATAAATAGTATTCATGAAAATATTGTCTTGCTTACTATAATGCTAAATAACTCTCTCCCTGATGAGATGTCACATATGTTTTTGGTCAGATCTGCAGTATCAAAAATTCAATATTGTCCTTGTGACTTGCTACAAAAATATCAATTGAATCATATTATTTTTTCTTTCAGAATTCATCACACCGTCTAACATTTTGTGGTGCTCAATTTGTTAAAATATGGCAGAGAGGCCTGAAGACTTGAATCTGCCAAATGCTGTTGTTACCAGAATCATCAAAGATGCAGTAAGGGAAAAAACATATACTTGATTTAAGCTATCTGTAAATAAATGTATTAATTTTGAAGAAGAAGGTAGGATTCTTTAGCCCATATTTTTCCCCTACAGATTCCAGAAGGGGTAAATGTTTCAAAGGAAGCGAGGCTAGCTATATCTAAAGCTGCCAGTGTGTTTGTTCTGTACGCTACCTCTTGTTCCAACAATTTCGCTCTGAAAGCCAAGAGGAAGACCATCAATGCCAATGATGTCATTAGTGCAATGGAGGAAATGGAGTTTGACCAGTTTGAGGGGCCTCTGAAGAAGTGTCTGGAAGGTAAGGTTAAGGACAGTATTTAATTTTCTCTTGAATGTAAACTTTTTGGAGGAATACATGTACAATTTATATACATTTAGCACAGCCACAGTCTGTGTCATAGTTTTATGCATTTACTGAATTACCATACTTTAGTTTAGATTTTTGTTCCATAAAAGGTACATGAACCTGTACATACTCTCATACAGAAAAGTTACTTTCAAGATGTCAAAAACTTTAACAAATTGAATTTCAAGAAAACTAAACCCACAGGAATTTGTAATCTATTTTTTTTTTCTGTTTTTTAAATTTTTATTTGAAGATCTTTCCTAATTGTGTATGATTTTATTTGCCTGACAGGGAATATATATTTGCACAGTTTCATTAGGACAAAACTAAGGCTCTTAGATGATATATATCATTCTCTTGAATGTCATCTTTTATGCATCTTGAGTTTATATGTATCTACTTTACAACTCTTAATTTTCCAGTAATTCACCTTTATACTTCACTTTATTTCAGCATACAGAAATGAACAGAAAAACAAGAAACAGGCAAACGAAAAGAAGAAGAAAGAAAAAGAGATGGAAGCACTTGCAGCCGAAGACGTAGAAGAAGAAATAGAGGAAGATGATGATGATGGCAATGATGGGGACAATGAAAAGGATGAAGATTTTGTGGCAGATGAGGAAGATGAAGAAGACGATGAAGAAGAAGGTGAAGAAGAGTCAGTGGGAGGGGGGAGTGTGGTGAATGACAATGCCAGTGTGTCGGGTAGTGTTACAGGTAGTGTAACGGGAAGTGTGGTGGAGATTTCAGATGATGATGGCTGACAGGGAAAGGGGGGATGAGGGGTGGTCAATGACATTGCTATAGTGGCAGATAGTGAAATGGAAAATGTGTTGGATATTTCAGATTATGAGAACTGACCAGGAATCTGTGTTTTGTATTATTAGTATTGAATATATATCTGTATGGATGAACTGTTAAAATTGTTAGGAATACTTGTATTAAATCATGCAAATATGCAAACTTGTGTAATGTCATTTGCATCCTGCAGGCGAATGATTTTCCAAAATCTGGAAAATTTTTGTTTAAAAAAATTAATAGTGTTTTAATGAACTTTGACTTTGAGAGAAGTTACATGCCAATAGTAATTAATCACTGTAACTAATGTGATTGAATGAAAAAAATCTTTGAATCGTTACCTTTCAAGTACAAAATTTTGATAAGTAATTGAAGGTAATGACAAACGAAAATAAATTTTCTCAAGTATCCCTGCATAGCACACTGGTATAAAATTTGATAAAATCTAAAGAAAAAAAATAGAGGGATTTTTGCCACTACAACACGTATTCTGACTTCTAAGCAGAAGCAGAAATTTTCAAAGATGAATGCATTTCATTTGAAGAAGCATCTATGGTCCTCACAATTATGTTCAATAAAGCCCAGTTTTAACTTCAGAGTCCATGACCCCGAGGGGGCATGAATTTTAAAATTTTGGAAACTGTGTCCTTGCTTATCACAACTATTCGCCTAGTTAGTCTGCTGAAAACGCAGGGGGAGAGAACATTTTCAAATGTATTAGCTACTGTACTTTCACTGTATGTGATCAACTGATCAATAGAGTCCCGTGAAGAATTGCACAGGTTTGGTAGAAGACCCAGTGCAATACAACCATGCCACAATTTACTTGATTTGTAGAAGAAATTAATAAGATCTTGGAAACTGCAACTTCATATAGTATATCATGCAATTAAAAAGGTCACTGGAGTCTCTGGTGCCCCCAAAATAGTCATTAATTCCAGATAGAGTTGTCTCTCATTGATCCTTGAGAAAATATTTCTGGAACCAACAATAACTCTATCATCTTGTAGTAATTGTGTAAATGATTGTGGAACTACGTACATTTTATCACCGTCTCAAAATCAATCTGTGATTGTGAATACTTTCAAATTAGGTAAATTTTGACCAAGAAGTGCTATTTAAAGGGACATGGACAGTTTTAGCAAAGATTTCAAATTTATTTATCCATTTTTGCAAATATTCAACTATTAAGGTCTTTCTATATGATATTATCAAAAAGAAATACGCACGCTAACTCTCGATTCCCGCCTACATTTTGCAACCATTTAATTCAATATAAATGGCAATTTGGCCATAACTTCTTTGTTTAATGCAAGGAATAGTTCAGTAAAAATTGATGAATTGTCTTGATACCAGCTCTAAATAGTAAACCATCCCTAATTCCAGCTCTTGAAAAAAAAGGGGGGGGGATGGTAGACGATATTTTCCATTGAAATACGACTTTCAAGCATCACCATATTTTGAAATAGTCTTGGATGTGATTAAATATTCCTTATATCTTTTCTTATGTTTTAGGCTAATAAATAAAACATAAATATATTAATAAAATATAATGTTTCATGAAAATCCATATAATTATCTATAAAAAATATTTTTAAAAAAATCATCAAATATGTTAACTTTTGAAAATTGACTTGGAGGTAGGCGGGAGAACAATACTATCGTTCGCAGTTTTTTGAACTTCATTTGTTGGAAATAGATAGATTTGGAGCTCCAAACCTTTGTTATATAAACAGGGTCCGGCAAATGAAGTTTAAATTTTTATTTAAACAGGGTGCGTGTCATGTTTTTGTTTATACAGGTTAATATACTAATATATGTTCTTGCAAAGCAGATAATTTCAATAAAGAAGTTAATTCTAAATACGATCGATTAGACATTTTTTAGTGATTTGCTGAATTTCATTTTGTTGTAAATATATTTTCTATATGTGAACAAAAACAAGGCACGAGCCTTGTATATATTCTGAAGAACTATTAAGTCCTGTATCTCGTTTGTTAATTGATTGAATTTTTGCTGATCTGAAGATGATATCATAGTTAGGAATTGTAAACATTAAGATTGGTTTTAAAAATTCAGTTGAAACTGTGTCCGTGTCCCTTTAAGGTTTTCAGCGGGCATTCTCGTGTTTATAGTAAAAAGTTATGTTCTTATCATATAGTTAACTAATTCCAATCATATCATGGATGCTCAAGAAAACTTTACACCCGTGCAGAAAGTTTTATCCGAACTGAAAAAAGAATTAAGAGTTGATAATTGTAAAGTGATTTTAACAGGTTCTTTTAACCTGACTGAAATGTGGAAGAGGGAAAAAGGAAAGGGGTTCAATTTATACAGGAGGTATAATTTTAAATTTTATTGGAAATTAAAGAAAAAAAAACCCAGATGATTAAATTGAACAAAGAATATTTTCAAATCTAAAAATAAAAAAGATTACACTCCCCTTTAATCATTTGATGAACGAAAAACTCAAGGTTGTTGAAATCCAAGAATAAATTTTTTTGATCGAACAAGTTTTGAAATGAAAACACCATATGCAGGTGACAGTGGGGTATTTCTACATAAATAAGAGAATTTGAATGATCGAGACGCTTAAATAATCTCGTTTGTCATCAGGTGACGGTAGGATATTTCTACATAAATAAGAGAATTTGATGATCGAGACGCTTAAATAATCTCGTTTGTCATCAGGTGACAGTGGGGTATTTGTACATAAATAAGAGAATTTGATGATCGAGACGCTTAAATAATCTCGTTTGTCATCAGGTGACAGTAGGATATTTGTACATAAATAAGAGAATTTGATGATCGAGACGCTTAAATCATCTCGTTTGTCATCAGGTGACAGTAGGATATTTGTACATAAATAAGAGAATTTGATGATCGAGACGCTTAAATCATCTCGTTTGTCATCAGGTGACAGTAGGATATTTGTACATAATTAAGAGAATTAGACGATCGAGACGCTTAAATAATCTCGTTTGTCATCAGGTGACAGTGGGATATTTGTACATAAATAAGAGAATTTGATGATCGAGACGCTTAAATCATCTCGTTTGTCATCAGGTGAGAGTAGGATATTTGTACATAATTAAGAGAATTAGACGATCGAGACGCTTAAATAATCTCGTTTGTCATCAGGTGACAGTGGGGTATTTGTACATAAATAAGAGAATTTGATGATCGAGACGCTTAAATCACCTCGTTTGTCATCAGGTGACAGTAGGATATTTGTACATAAATAAGAGAATTTGACGATCGAGATGCTTAAATCATCTCGTTTGTCATCAGGTGACAGTAGGATATTTGTACATAATTAAGAGAATTAGACGATCGAGACGCTTAAATAATCTCGTTCGTCATCAGGTGACAGTAGGATATTTGTACATAAATAAGAGAATTTGATGATCGAGACGCTTAAATCATCTCGTTTGTCATCAGGTGACAGTAGGATATTTGTACATAATTAAGAGAATTAGACGATCGAGACGCTTAAATAATCTCGTTTGTCATCAGGTGACAGTGGGGTATTTGTACATAAATAAGAGAATTTGATGATCGAGACGCTTAAATCATCTCGTTTGTCATCAGGTGACAGTGGGGTATTTGTACATAAATAAGAGAATTTGATGATCGAGACGCTTAAATCATCTCGTTTGTCTTCAGGTGACAGTGGGGTATTTGTACATAAATAAGAGAATTTGACGATCGAAACGCTTAAATCATCTCGTTTGTCATCAGGTGAGAGTAGGATATTTGTACATAAATGAGAGAATTAGACGATAGAAACGCTTAAATCATCTCGTTTGTCATCAGGTGACAGTAGAGTATTTGTACATAAATAAGAGAATTTGACGATCGAAACGCTTAAATAATCTCGTTTGTCATCAGGTGACAGAGGGATATTTGTATATAAATAAGATAGTTTGACGATAGAGACGCTTAAATAATCTCGTTTGTCATCAGGTGAGAGTAGGATATTTGTGCATAAATAAGAGAATTTGACGATTGAAACGCTAAAATCATCTCGTATGTCATCAGGTGACAGTAGGGTATTTGTACATAAATAAGAGAATTTGACGACCGAGACGCTTAAATCATTTCAGGTGACAGTGGGGTATTTGTGCATAAATAAGAGAATTTGAATGATCGAGACGCTTAAATCATCTCGTTTGTTATCAGGTGACAGTGGGGTTTTTGTACATAAATAAGAGAATTTGACGACCGAGACGCTTAAATCATTTCAGGTGACAGTGGGGTATTTGTGCATAAATAAGAGAATTTGACGACCGAGACGCTTAAATCATTTCAGGTGACAGTAGGATATTTGTACATAAATAAGAGAATTTGACGATCGAGACGCTTAAAGAGGTTGGGTGGTCGTGGCCATTTTTAGACTATTTTGATCTCCATTAGAAGAAGAGCTCGATATAAAGATATAATAAAATGATCAAATTTTAAAACTAAAATTTATGAAATTTTTCTTTGCCAAATTGTAGTTGACAGCTTAAGATATCATATCCCAAAATTTAAGTTCTATCTGGTGTTTAATAAAGATAATTTGTTGATCCCCTATCCTCCTTAAATCATCTCATTTGTCATGTACAATTTAGTTGTTAGTTGGCACTTATCGTCTGTAGTCAGTAAAACATTTCAAATATGAAACAAATGTGGCAGAATATGTGTTTTCTTTATTTCAATTTTTGTATACAATACATGTATATCAGATTGATATATGAATGAAAGTAACCACAGTTCTGTATTGTTAATCGATGATGTCGATATACATATTCTAATGTCTGATTGAAGGCAACAGCACTTTCCTTCTTCCCATGTAGAAGTTTTGAATAAAGTCTGCTTCATGGGATTATAAAAACAGGTCATCTAATAATAGAGCACAATTTTTAGAAGCACAGCTGAAGTCTAATCATCTAATAATTGAGCACAATTTTTAGAAGCAAATCGGAAATTTAACAGTTTGTTGAAAGACCTGGTCTCGGATGACTACATACATGTATATGTTGTCATTCAGGAAACCAACCGTCCTTTCAATATCAACTTCCTTTCTAAGGAGGGAATTCTTTAAAATCAAATGTCAGTTTTGAAAATTTTTAATTTTCCCAACTACCAGAATGAATTTGAATTATCATATTATGAAAATCCTTACAAACAAA